ACACAGATACAATATACACATGTCCAGGTACTTACTTGACCATCAGCTGAGCAATGCGTTGACAGTCCCTCTTGTCATAGAACCAAATACTGTAGATACCCACTGCAAGAAAGCAGAAGCAGCATTACAAAAGACAAAACTCTTCATACATTAAAAAAAAATCATTATAACCAACCAAAATAACTAATACCAATTTTTATAATTTGTGTGGAATGATTAATTTAGTCTACAAGTTTTGTAAAAACAATAGGCCTACTGTATATGACTGAAACTTTGCATTTATCAATATTATTACTGTTAGTGCAGCCGGAGTTCGGCCGCCTCTGTCAGATTTGGTCCCGCCTCCAGCTCTCAACAAAACTCATGGGAAACACTATTTTCTAGCAGTCTGGCTGGACACACAGTGTGACAGTGTTTCCGCTTTGCCACACAGAAAAAATAATCACTAAATAAAACTAAACTGCTTTTCCAAAAATATAGTTTTATATCACCAGCAGGTGTTCAAAAAGCAGTAGTGTGCGCTTGTGAAAGCCACTCTATGCGCCTCTACATCTGTGATTGAATGCCATCCTGTAGAGTGACTACAAAGCCAGTGTGTGTTTGTTTAGACCGTGCAAATGTAAGGTCATTTTTAAAAATGAACTTTTTCCCCCCACTTTATCAGAAAGTTGAAAAAGACTACGGCTGCGATAATTTTTGTACTCAAAGCTTCTGTAGATTATTTCAACAATTCATTGATGTGTCGTTTAAGAAGTACTTTTGTACTCTGTCAGTCTGCCCCAGAAGAAATTGAACAGAGAAAGTTTTCAAAATACTGTCGATAATCAGGAGGCTGTTAAACAGTTAATGGTGATAATTGTCATTAGCTACGTTAAAGTGGGACATTTTTTGCTTGACAAAAGAGTAGAGCTGCAATGATTAAATGATTAGTTGTCAACAGTTTAATTAATCGCCAACTATTGTGATAACTGATAAATCGGTTTGAGCAATATTTTAAGAAAATAGTGTTAAAATTCTCTGATTCCAGCTTCTTAAAATGTTAATATTTTCTGGTTTGTTTACTCTGCTATGACAGTAAACTGAATATCTTTGTGGACAAAACAAGACATTTGAGGACATCATCTTGGGCTGATGTGTGACATTTTTCACCATTTGAAGACAAAATGGTAAAATAAAAACTATGTCAGCAGTTTTTGCTGAAACATTCGCTAGTTAATTTTCCATTGCTTGTGTGTCATTTGTGTTTGTGATGAAACACTGGCACATTCAAAGTCCCTCAAGAGGTTGAGGTAACCTAGCAACCTGAGTGTTTGCCTCCCTGCAGCATCTGCTGCTACCAAGGGGAATATGAAGAGGTGTAAACAGGTGCGAGTATCCACTGGTCTCTCTAAATGGCATTCTCAAAGTTTGATTACACTTCTGGATCTACTGGTGAACTCACTCACTAGTACTCACCACCAGTCTCACAGGCTTGGAGCGAGACATAAAATAACCATAAATGATCAACATCACATCTTCCCTGTGTTGGGACTCTTCAGCCAAACTTCTATCTTGCTCCTGATCAGCCTTCATCATTCCTTCTTTGCTCTTCCTATTTCACAGCAGTGGGAGGAGTCTTAGAACCATCTTTAAGATATCTCCCTCTTTCTCCAGATCAGAAAGGTGGAATCGAAAACACAACAACCACACCTCACAGGAGGGCAAACGCAACGACAAACATAGACACTACATGCTGACGAATGAACGTCTGAGAACTACCAAAGGAACCTCAGACAGTACGTTTCACAACTGAAGAGCACAAATGGACTAATACAACCTGAGAGAGAGAACTACACAAGCAGTCAAAACCAACCAACGGAATAAAATCAAGGAGGGGACACCATCAGAGAACATTTACTCCGTCTTTCAGAGCGTCTCCAACAAAACCTGAGGAATATTAACAACCAGTGTTTTACTTTATCTGTCTGCAACTCAAGCCACTCTGAGGAATTAAAATGCTAACGCGACCACTTGGGCTTAAGTGAAGTTACCAGAGAAGCGGCTCTGGTCTTAAAACTAACAAGAAATAACATCATGTCTTCCATACCAGCCAGGCTGATAGGCAAACAAAGTCCAAAAGGGGAGCAGTCTACTTTGACGTTGACCCTGGCTATGTTATTTTTTCTTATAAGCAAACAAATGGGAAAACAGTCAAACTCCTTATTCATAGCCTTGATGAAACTCCTGTTCAGACTTCTAATAGATTACCTCGGTGGCAGCACTGTCAGTTACTTTCTGAAGATCTGAGGGATTTCATCACTTCTTTCTTTTCAAATTCTTACAGCTAGAAAGGTTTGACTGCAGCACCTCACTGGATAAAGCCATCAGCAAAAGCACAACTCATTTAATAAAATATATATCAGTCAGATTCATAATCAAACCCATAGGTCTTTTTTTCCTTTTTAGGTTTAGCTTTCCCCAATGCAAAAGGATATCAACTGTGACCAAAACAAGCTGAAACTGTTGCCCTCTGGTACGCTTGCCTGAGGTCATGAGTGAAAAAAGTGCTTCCGAAGATGTTCTCTTGCTAAATGTGACTCCAAGATGCCAAAATGACTTCAAGCAAAAGGGAAAAGAGATGTTCCAGAGAACATTGGTGAGGTGTTTGTCCGGCATTTACAGAGGTACTGTTATGTTCTGATCCATTTATTTGTGTATGTGTGTGTGTGTGTGTGTGTGTGTGTGTGTGTGTGTGATAATGAATGTTAAAAACACCTACACGGCTGTCTGCACAGAATGCACATCTTCTGAGATACAACAGTGTTTCATTGTAGTTGAGCAGAAACCTAAGAAACAATGCATAATATCCCCATTGACAGAGGATTTTTACTATTTTACTATTTTGCATAGCATATGTAATGGTGTGATGACAACAGTTCCATAAACATTTTCTCTAGGACGATATCTCATATTTTTCATCACACACATTTTTTTAATTCATCTTGGTATGGGGCTGGGCCTCACCTGCAACTACCCTTCTTTGTTGGATACTAGGCCCTGGATGGCTTGCTGCCTTTAACTTGTCAAGAAATATCGAAGTACTCAAAATATTGGATCCCAGACACCGTATAATAATCTCAAATGACATCTAATTTCAGTCCACACAGACACATAAGCATGTCTGTGTGTTACATCTCCTGCTTAAATGTAAATCCTCCGTACACTTTACCACTCAAAGCGCTTTTACACTACATTCACACACATTTATACACTAAGCCTAAGTGCTAAAACAGAAACTATCATTCACACACATTTGTACACTGGCGGAACAGCCGCCAGAGGCAATTTGGGGTTCAGTGTCTTGGACACTTCGACATGCAACCTGGGGGAGCCGGGATTGAACTGCCAACTTTCCGATTAATGGCCAACCCGCTCTACCACCTGAGCCACAGCCGTCCGGTTTAGAGCTTCCATTCTACAAACAGACTCACAGTTTCCGTTCCTATAGAGCAGGAAGGGATCCTGCAGCTGGAACTCCAGGTCTTTGTTGATCGGCTCCACCAGGTTCTCTGTGCTCAGTCGGTTCATAATGGTGAAGCCATGACGAGGTGAGGCAGACCTTAGATGAACAATAACAACAAACACTGCAAAAAAAAATGCTCTAGCAGTACAAAACATAACCTCCACTTTCTTAGGCACTATATTGCACTTATGCACTGTATTTACCAAAATCTTTAAAATCTTACTTTGACTTTTGCTCGATTTTTTCCATGACGAAACAATAGAAAAACATTTTTGACTTGCATTACTTTTAAATATAATAAAGAGCCAAAGCCAAAAAAAAACAAATGTAACAAATCCTCATAGTTGAAAGCCATAACGTAGTATGTAGTAACTGTAATAAACAAGGTAAACGATTGATCAATGACCACATTTTAATTATTTCCCCCCCGCAGTTAATGTTTGTTTACAAAGACTGCGGCCTACACACGTGCACAGAATACGTCAGATGGCAGCGCAAACATAAGTAACACTAAACAAGTCGCACAAACAACCTTCACGGTCGTCATATGAAATTATTAAAGATTGTATGTGCTTACCTAGCATAAACAAACAAGGTGCCCTCGATTTCGGTCTTCTCCTGAAATTAGAAGTGACGTTATGTGTAAAAAGCAACAACCGCTAAACAAAAACGTGCTGAATAATAATATTAGCAACGAAAGCGGACTGTTAGCGTTATTACACAACTTATGTTAGCTCAGGTAAGATATAACGCTAACTTTCAAAACACTGACACAATGCCACGGGTATAAAAACAGCATGCCTGAATAAACATATATAGATATGTTACAGTTTGACATAAGTTATATATTAATATAAATGTCTTAGTGTTTCTGCGTGTTTAGCGAAGAGCTAGCATTAGCATGCTACGTGACTATTTAGCTAGCATACTTTAGATTCACGTTACTGTTGCATGTGTTTCACACACTTACCCATTCGTTCGCTTTGGAGTTGAAGTTGTAGAGAGCCACCTGGCCGGTAACATCGAGCAGTTTATTAATGTACGGGTCTTGTCTCTGTAGAGCTGCTAAGCTCATCATATGTCCGGAATTTACGGTCTCCATTTTGGATGTGATTGTTGCTCCCGCACGGACGGATTTCTGCGGACACTTATAACTTCCGCTGTCCCCGAAAATCACGGCTCTCAAAAAAGTTTCCGACATTAATCTGATACGTAAATGAGGTTATTCCCAAATTGTTAAAAACGGAATGTTTTAATAAATTAATTTAATGAATCCACGCATTCATGATAATAAAATTTGTTTTAAGGTGCAAACCTGGCAAAAACAACTGATAATTATGCTATTTGGCCAAATAATTTGCTTACTGCTGTGTCTGTGTGCCTTTTATATTAAATTAAACCAATTAAAACTACGCAAATTATTAGGCCTACATTTTGTATTAATACTTAGGGGAAAAAAAAGTCGTATTAATCAAGTGAACAAATGTATAGACTATGGCACCCACCGGAGATAGGCTTTTTGTGATCATTAAATACATTTGACTTTTGCACTAATGAAGTGAACCAAGGACGGATGTAATCTTTCTAATGATTAAAGACCATGTATCTGCAGAAAACTATTAACTTATTAACTGTAGGCTACCCTACCTTCATGTTACATAAATAAGCTACCACAGGGCTGCGCTGCAATACTTATTTTTGGGTCCAGTCTGACATGTGGGCTTTAACCTGAGAATCTTGGTGCATCACAAGTGAAGAGGTGTTAGCATGCTGACATGTGTGACAACGTTTCTGTAGTTAGCCTAATTCTTACTTTTTAGTTGTCTGCAGCCTAACCAAAATAACACACTGGTACTGGCAAAAATATCAATGTAAGCACAATTTAAATTCCTCTGTGTAGCTATTTATTTATTTAGATTTGGATAGAATAACCTACTTTAAAACCATCATTACACTCAGAAAGAAAAACGCACAATTCTCTGATCGCTTATTTGGTCCAGTTGAGCTGCAGATGCCTGCCTCTGTTTAGGGAACATTGGAGCAGGGATTTTAATCGGAGGATTAGGCTCTACCGTGAAACTGTTATCCTCCATACAGGCACAGGTAATCCAATCACTGGTAACCTTCCAGCACAGCTCCGACAACACATTTCCTCTCGAATCGCCGCGGAGTGAGGGTAGAAAACGGCGCTATGAGGCCCCAGCGAAGAGCCAGGTGACAGAATGCCGTTCATTATAAGGGGAAGACCCCTGAGGGGTAAGTCCAAGGACCTGGAATACAGTAACTACTTAGCTTTACCGGATGGATAGGATGAGGGCATGGCGTTTATCCTCCTATCCAGAAATTAGGCTACACTGACAGGGGAAAGTCAGAGTAACTCTTAACTAGTTTTCCATCTAAATGGACTCTTGCATTGGAGTGGGTCATCTGACGCATTTAAAGCAATCCCCTAAAACATTTACAGAAACATAGATTAGACAGATTCAATAGCCTACTACATACAAGCCATAAATGGCCAACAACATACTACAAGGCTACACGTTCAAATGCCATGCTTTGGTAGTTTACAGACACAGATACACACATATTTATGTGTATTTGCTTCACTGTGTCACCTGCTGCCTAATTTATAGGCTCCAGACGTTGTTACAATGTTTTCAAGTAAATTAGCAACAGACTGACTTCTTGTTGACTCTAGTAGTTGTTTGTTGTCAACTCCCCAGTTTTAGCCTATAGCCTATGCTAGACGGATTTCTTGTCTCCATTCACATGCCACCCAATTTATTCGTGACTGTTGTTTTACGGTTTTAAAAGCATAAATCATTAGCTTTGTCCATCTGAAAACATCTGGTAATCCTGCCAGACTTCACTTTAGAGTTGAGATTTTTTATAACGTGCTTGTTACGTTTAATGGGCGGCAACAGGTGCATATGCAGTTTGAATGTGATTCCGGGTAGCCCGTGATTGCTCTGACTTGTAGGCCTAACTGTCTATACCCAGCCACAGTTAGAATAATTGACAGCAGTGGATTGACTGCTGCTGTCAGCGCGTCCTCTCGGATCCACAGTGAATCTGCAGGCAGGCACCCGGATGTGGCAAAAATGTTTGGCGCTCCTCTCAGGGTTTGCGCTCGGAAAACATTTCATAATTCAGGTTAAAGGCTCCTTTCTGGCTCGCGCGTCGACACCTCGGGATGTTTTTTCCAACGATGAGTTGGATTTAAAACGCATCTTTTCAATGTGGATTCGAGGATGCAAGAAGCAGATGAACAGTCTGAAGGTAAAAAACCGTGCGTGGAGCGCAGGAGGAGAGTTGGAGCGCTGCGAGAGGGGGCGAGAGCGCTCATTTGGTTTATTCTCTAGATGTCCGGTCACTCTGTGTGATTATATGCTCTGAGTCGTGTCTTTTTCTATTTTTTGATACTTATTTAGTCCACAGATTTGAGTATTAACATTGTAAGCTGCATGATTGTAATGACAACAGTCATCAAATCCATTGGGAAACGAGTTGCGGCTAGTTCTCCAAAAAATGGTTGACTATGTTTGGACTAAACCTATTACGGTCAAGTGGTCGTTTTTTGAAACCACGTGACAGTTTGTGGAGGATGTTTTGGATTTGTGCGCTCCCCAGAATGAACGGAGAGACGCTAAATGAACTTTTCAAGCAAACCCCGTTATTAAAAAAAACCAAATAGTTTCTGGGGGTTAGAAGTGCTGTTTTAAAAAGCCACCACAGGTGGAAAAGAAGTTGAGAACAGCAGCAGAGAGTCAACAGTTGTTATCCTGCACTGTATGACAGATGTGCGACGTCCAACAGAACTGCTGGGATAATTCCCATTACATCCCAGAAATGTCAGGTCATGTTATTTACTGATGCGATCATCATTAAACAGGCGTGCGCTCGTTATTTTGCACCTGTGGTGATCTTATGTCGTGGAATGAGGAGGGTCTGCAGAAGTATGAGCCCAATCATATAGATTAGAAATTGTGAATTTGTGTTGAAATGTAGTTTCTATGCATGTCTTTCCATCAGACTGACTTCAGGGTAAATTCAAGTGAGACTGCTATGTTGAGACATTTTCCCTGATAATAGCCTAATTTTGATAGGCCTACATTACCTTGCTCAGTATTTTATCTTTAAAATGCATGCTCAGAGTTGTCTTAACTTTAACATAAGCTTGGACTTGGACAAATAAAATACAGTACAATTAAGCAAATCACTTGAATTAACAGATCAGAGATTAAAGATCAGATGACTCTGACAAGGAATATCATGTGGACTTTCTGTTAGCAATAGTTTTTAAATCTCTGCTTTTCTTTGGTTGATTGTCCATTTATTCACCCTTTCTCCACATTGTTCATTATGGGCTTCACTCATCATTATGATTAATGATCAGTGTTTTGATTTGAACATCTCAGTGTGAGAGCTGTTTTAGGTGGATGGCATAAAAAGCTGTTGGTTGGCTGTGACAGGGACAGTAGTCCCTGATGTGATTCTGCTGTAGAATTGCAGTAAACCAAAGTGACTGTGTCAAGGGCACTGTCTTTTGCACTCTGGTTCGCATTGATTTTAATGACTCTCTCTGCAGGCTGTCCCGCTCTCTCTCTGTCTCTTCCACACTCCCTTCAAACCAGCCCTTTTCTTCTTCTTCTTCATTCAGTTTTGATCTTCTTTTGTGCGGGTGGGCCTTCATTTTCTGCGAGTATTAAAGTTGTAATGGGTGGCCTTTAATGTGAAATGAATCTCCAGGTGCCTAATTGAAACTCTGTATTTTACAGTTTTCCCAAATGAAATTCTGGCACTTCTCTGCTTACAGAAAATGAAAACATGTCATTTTAATTTCAAATACACATACTTCTTAACTCAAGGCCAAGTGAGCACTCTGTATTAAGAAACTCAGACTCACAAATTTGTGCTTGTTTGCCTTTCTTTCACCTTTGTTGTCAAAAGCACCAGCTGTCGTTAAACATGAGTGTTTTTGCTCATGTAATAATAGTAGGTTGGAGCCACCAACATGAAGTTTTAAAAACTGTATAAAGTTGTCAGGCACTGATGAAAGGTGTCCATGCCAATATTATCGGCCAGTATTAGCTTATTATTATTGCAGATATATCAGTTTCAATATATACCCTCTCCAATAAGTAACAAGAAATTGCTGTATATATATGTCAAAGATATATGTAAGGTTTATAAAAACAGAAAAATAATACTGAAAGCACTGACAAATGTATTTTTTAACTGTAAAATGGCCCACTCAGAACACCATCTTGGTCACAATTTACAAAAGAAAACAAGTTGATAACAAAAATGTTTGTTTAAGTTACATTTGTATGTGCCTTTCCCCCTCTCCCATTGGTTATTAGTTATGATATGGCTGTATAAATGCTTAGTAAAACATTGTTGATTTTGCTCTCCATGCTGGCATTCTTATGCAACATTATAATTTCTTATTGCACTTTATATTTGACCTCTTCTGGAAAGCATTTCTCTCTCCTATTCTAAAACAATTTCAGCAGTATATGACATTAACTCTGTGGTAAATGACACCTATTTTGAGTTGTTAATATTAAAGCTTCTATGAGTAGAATTGCTATGTGCAAAATGCTCACATTTGGCTTTCTGAAATGCAATAACACAACATCAACTGTTGCATGGGGAACATGATGTTTGTGGGTGTTTTTGTTTAGACTCACACTCAGCCTCAAAATGTTATAACCATTTTCTCTTACGTCTCCCCCAACCTCCCCCTCCAGGGGCACAGTATGCCAACAACAGAAGGTCCACTCCCTCCACTGACGCCTCAGCGCTCTGGTCAGAAAGCCACACCCGTCTACACCAACTCCATGCACCAGAGCCCCTGCAGGCCCCACCCAGCACTGGCAAACCTGTCGGCTCCTCCTGTGGCCTCCACGGGGCCAACAGTGGCATTCAGGGCCTTGGTGGCACTGGTTCAGGTGTCAACCCTGTCTTTGCTTGGCATGCTGCCATTAACGCTGCTCGTCAAGCACAGGGCGATGGTGCAAAGCCCGACATGAGTTCACAGCCCTCAGTTTGCACCACTGCACCAGCTCCTGTGGGCTCACTGGCGCAGAGGAAGAGGCAGCAGTACGCCAAAAGCAAAAAGCAGGGAGGATCTACTAACAGCAGACCGCCCAGAGCTCTGTTCTGCCTCACCCTCAACAACCCGATCCGCAGGGCCTGCATCAGCCTGGTGGAGTGGAAGTATCCTTTAGCCCAGAGATAGAGGTTTTTCTTGAATGGATGGATTCCAGATGCTTGGGTGTCTGAATGGATTATGTTTATTTGAATGGATAAATTGCTTCATAGAATAGTGCATGGCTGGTTGTGTGTGTGTGGGTAAGGAATGAATGTATAACTTGAAATAATGGACCATAACTTTACTGTTACAATAGAAATTGCCTACTTTAAATACGTAAGAGGTAGCTTTGTTCGAAAGCTAATGCCTGTTGCACACTACAGGAATTCAGGATTCAGTTAAGATGCACGACCACACACTTGGTGTTTATACTAAACAATTTCAGAGTAGCAATTCCCGAGACTTGGAATCTCACAGAAACTTGTGTGATCAAAGTGACTTCAGACATAATACATTTTATATTTATTGATGACACTTTCTGGAGAGCTCACTCTCATTGGCTGTTGCGGGTTTCTGATTGGAGTCTGATTCTGATTCACCAAAAATGACACAATACACATAATGTTAATAAGCACGCCTGTTATCAATTTAATATACGATACCTTCATAGAAGGTTTAAATATATACAAAACTTCTATTCCCAAGGATTCTCTAACTTCTAAACCTCTGATACTATTAGCGTTTTTCCCTTAACAGTCTTTGTCTCTTTCAGACCATTTGATATCTTTATACTGCTGTCTATTTTTGCCAACTGTGTGGCCTTAGCCATCTACATCCCCTTTCCTGGAGACGACTCCAACTCTACCAACCAAGAACTGGTGAGTGGCCATCCCTTATTACAGTGTACTGCCATGTGTGTGTCCCTGTTGTTGTAAGGGTTTGCTAAGGGGTCAGAAATAACCCATTGGCCAAAAAAGTGTATTTTCTGTAACCACAAAATGTATTAAGCTGCATGGGACTGTCAAAGAACACATTGTGATAAAGTTCTGGAATAGGCAGAAGTGCACTTATCTGGCGGAGTATTCAATCTTGGCAACTTGGGTTTTGAATAGAAAATACATACAGGTAAAAAGCAGTGGAAATAGGGTGACCTGCAAAAAAGTTATTTAAAAAAAAGCTGCATTCTTAGTTGTTTACTTGTGTGAAACAACACACACTTAGAAGCAGGGAGAACATTCAGAACATGCTTGATGTTGCACCTGAATTTGCTTGAATAAAAAAATGTAGTAATTTAAAGTTTTATTTTTTTCTCTGCATTAAAATCTGGAAAATCTCACTTGAACAGAGTCAGTTCTGCAACATTATCAATGAACATATTTTCAAACTTAACCCTGGTGGCAACAAGCCATGCAGATTGTTTTGCACTGTTCTTCTGGCTTCTCGTGCCACTATTTGTCATCAGCCGGATTACACACAAAGACTAGACACAACACCTTTGCATGAGTGTGATTGGCTTGACGTGTGGGTTGCGTCAGAGTGCTTTCCCGGCAATATTTGGATTGATGTGTCGGGTTTCATTGTTTTGTTGACACACACAAACCCTGGTGCACACACATCTACACACATACCCAGCGGGTCATCCCTCTGTATGTCACAGCACCTCCCCATGGTGCGAGAGCATCACTGAGGTGAAAAGACAGAGAGGCAGAGATGAAAACCAGTTTCTTCTACGTAATTATTATCAAACTATAAACAAAATGATAAATATTACCATTCAATACAATACAAAGTATGAAGCCAACTATGATTACATATTACCCTCAATTGATATTCTTGTTGAAATCTATAGCAAAGCAGCAAGATGACGATGTCCAACAGCTAGTGGTTCCCAGTGCTTGAAAAGCAGAACAAAATGAAGTGAACACAAACTGCAGTTAGGACTGATGCTGATATTTGAGCTAACAGCCTATGCCAGATAGCATTGGATTTTATTTCAGTGTAACTGTCAGCAATGGTGGCCAAGAGCTGTCAGTTCACTAACTAAGACCACGCCAATAAGGTATGTAGTTTATTTGATTAGAGAGAAGGATCGGGGATGAATGCATGGAGGGAAAGGAATCAAGGGGTCAAGAAGGTAGTGATGAAATGGGTTGATCTGGGTCGTGTAGCCGGAGCGGCTAGGAACCCTGGGGTCGAGACTCAGGGTGGGGACACATCTCTATAAGCGTCTTGCTTATGATCCCCCTGTAGTTCCTGTGGTAGAAAAAAAAAACAATTAAACAACAATTACTTTGGTTAGCATGTATGTCTTTGATGGTGGGAGGAAACACCACACAAACACAATGTGCACACTCCACACAGAAAGGCCTGGGCTGACCGAGGTCTGGACCCAGGACCTTCTTGCTGTGAGGCCACAGTGCTGTCCACTGGGCCACCATTGAAAGAGGAGAGAAAGAGGGTTTGGGGGGGAGGGATGTGAGAACTGAGGAACGGCAGAAGAAGGGGTTAGACCGGCTTATATACGTATGTGCTAGTGATTGGATTGGAGAGGCACAGGAGAATGAAATGAGTGAAGCACGGGTGTGGTTGGATTAGTGAGAGAGGTGTGGTCTTGTTCCTGAACCTCAGTTCTAATAACTACATAAATTCACAATATGTCCAATTCAGGTTTTTCCCCTTGTCTGAGCGACACAAAGTAGTAACTTTAACCATAAAAGTTGGGTTTGATGTCTTACTAGAGCTTTCCTTTGTGTTTGTAGTCAGAACAGAACTAGACAGAACAAATATTGTCTGCATGAACTGATGACAGATAATTGGCCATGTGACTACAGTATATAAAAGCAATGGCAACCCAGAATTAGGAAGGAAAGCTTCTGCTCTTGTCAAGTTTTGTGTTTGTTCAGTTCACTTCAATGAAATGCATTTCACCTCAGATTATATTGCTAAAAGAGCAGGATAATTTTGTTGATAGTAGCTTACAAGTCTTTGAGCAAGAGTCTAAGTCAAGTCTCAAGTCTCTCGTAGTTATAATGAATATTGTTTCACCTGCTGCGTTCAATACAGGCTGCTTAGCTATAAGCCATTCTGTAACTGTTACCTGTTTTTTTTTTTACTTACAGAGCACAACCATGTAATGTGCAATGCAATTAATATCAGCTTATTAACTACTGTAAGTCAACACAATCCGCTGACTCTCAAACCCAGTGTGACGTTATAACTAGATTAAACTGTAATGTTGATCAACAATAAACCTGTAACCTGTTTGCAGCCAACATTAATAATAACTCCCAACAGTCAGAGTTAGCCTCCGTCCGGTAGGTCGTAGCTAAAGCATGAAGCAAGCTAACGTTAGATAGCCAATGCTGAGCTAAACATGTTTACTAACCTACTTTGCATTTGGCGCTTGTTATTTTGTGTTTGGGTCTTGTTGTATGAAGTTTTAAAGCCAAGGTTTATGACGAATGACTCAGCAGCTGCTGGTGTTTGTTGTCCTCTCTCACGTGTGGCTGTGCTAATACTACGTGTTAAGGTGTGTTCACACTGAAAGCAAATTTAATATTCGCCTCGCTTTACTTACGCAAGTTTGACCGCTGGACATTAGTGCCCAACTGAAAAAAAAATATACTTAAGAAGCACTTATCATATTTTAATTGTACTATACTAAGTGTATATTCAGTGTGTTATTTTGGACAACTTGAACAACTATGCAACTTAAAGTATGTTAAGTCTCATTTTAGAAATACTTAAAGTCAACTTTAAGATAATTGCAATATATTTTAATATACTTAGTTGTGTTAAAATGGACCTATTTTAAGTACCTTTATTGTAATTTAAATATACTTTTTTAAATTTAACTTAAAATACCCCTTTATGCTATACTTGAAGAATAGTTTAAATATTTTAAATTGTTGTAAAATGTTCCCTTAACATTTTTATTAGCATTTCCGTATATTTGTAATTTATTACTATTGTACTCCAAGAGCCACTATTAATATCTTGGGAAGCTGCTTTATGAAACCATTCAGTATGAAAATAATGCATTATTAATGCATTAAAAATACCTTGCAAAATGGTCTTTTAGCATAATAATAAAAATCTAATTTGTATGGCAGCCCAAGCGCTTACTCAGCTGTAGTGAAGGTACTCCGTCACAAGCATGCAGTACAAATGGTGGAACCAAACTGAAACTGAAACAGGTCACAATCCTTATCCTTGGAGTGGAGGGTCGCTTATCTTTGAGTAGGACTCGTTGCATTGACACTATGAGATTTGGAAACTGCTTTATCACACAGCATCTGTGGAAGGGAAAAGGAAATATTTTGTCTATATCAAAGCAATATTACCTCTAATTAACTAACAACCACTATCAGATTTTCATCTGATATCATGTCTAACTGTTCTGATAATGCTAACTGTTTAGGTTCAGGTGAATTGGTTTTCCACAAGGGACCCCTCCCAGTTAATGCCCAGTTCTTCCATTACAACATGATCAAAAACATTACATAAACACTACTGCACATTCAGCCGAGGAGCTGGATAAACTGTCATTGAACAGGTACAAGAAATAACACAAACATTCAGACTTGCTTAACAACTGTGCTGTCTACATGTCATTTCACATTAACACAGCGAAGTACAAAAGTAGCCAATTACTTAATGTATAACAATATTTTAAATATAATTATATTTTCACAAGAATATTTGTTTATTTAGCCCTGTTGACAAGGCAAAAACAGTGATGGTGTGCAGGAGCCAGCTGGTTCTTTGAGGTTTTTGTGGCCTCTAAGCCATCTGAGTGAAGCAACGATCCCAGGAAGCTCTAAAAGAAAAGAAATGCAGTTGCAAATGAGATATAATAAATATTCAGTTAGGCCAGTACTTCCACCTAGTTTAGTTCTTCATTTGCATAACAACACTGTAATTCTATTCTTATAGCAAATCTTTATTATTATTCTTTATTTACTTTTCTTGAGCTAAGACAGGAAATTCTGGGTTTGGCATTTAGTTGGTTAAAGTTGGCAAAGGGTAGGTTCAACTTTTAAAAGTTAATCTATGACCACACAAATGGACATAAAGTTGAGCAGTTTATAAAACATCGCATGCTATTATATCATGTGGTCAGGCATTGCAGTAGACAAAAACATTAAACATTAAAAACTGCTGTTAATTAATTACTGTAACGTTAATTGCGTTTCTTTTGTAATGCGTTACTCCCAACACTGTTTAAGGCAGACGAAAGTTGCTGTCTACACTATGAAGCTATTCACATGCTAACTAACGTTAGCTAACAAATATATTAATCCACGTGCTAGCATTAGCTAATGCACACCAGAGCTATCCACCAAGGAAAATATTTTCAAACCCAGAGTGAGCTCAACTTTCCTTAACTTACACAATTGTGTTGTCTTGCTAACAATAATAAACTTACCAAGAAAGATTTTTGCCGGCAGTATCTGCGTCTGTCCTCTCCTGCTTGTCCCTGCCAGCCACGCCTCTTTAGCTCTTTTCACATTTAACTTCTGCAGGGAGCTGACCGGATATTCTTCTCTTCAGTGTTCTTCTCTTATTATGTCTGTGGACACCACAGACATAATAAGTTCGCCAAGTCCGAGTCGGTAAAGTAAAGCAAATGAAACCTGAGAAACAAAATGATTTCTGGCCAAAACTAGCTTCCCTCTCAACGACAGTAAACACGTTAACTTTCATGAAGCGGACTTTCACGCTGTGTGATTGGGTCGTTGATTTGAAAACCTTGATTCTGATTGGTCAGGTTGAATGGGCACACTTTTCCCCTGTGTACACATGTGTTTACTGTTTACACACAGAAACAAGTATAACTACATTATGATTTAAAGTATGCTTATTACTAAATGTTGTTGTTTGTTTGTTAAGTTAACAACATGTGCTACTTCCTTCTGGGCCAGGTTACCTTTATGAAAGAGGTCTCTGATCTCAACAGGCTATTTACCTGATTAAAAAAATTTAAAGAAATAAAAAATAATAATGTGCTTTTGAAAAATACATTTTAATGTTAAAAGAAAAAGTTTTAAAAATAATACTTCTGGAAATCAGACTGAAACATGTGGCAATTACATAAATAATTACAATATTTTGCAGTAGCCTACACAATGAAGCATGTTTGGCATAAATATATTTTTAACCCACTAAAAGTGTTTAACAATGTACTTCCACGAAGTACACCTAAACAGTATTTACTAAGAGTTAAATAAATATATTTTTAATAAATAGACTAAAATGTTGTGAAAAATATACTTTTATTTAAGCATATTTATTAAAAGTTTAATTAAGTATATATTTATTACCAATTTATTCAAAGTATACTTTTGAGAAGTATGTTAAAGCTCAGGAGAATATATCTTTAATATACTTGTAGTAAGCATGTTAGGAGTATGAATGTACTATAAGCATACTATGTGAATTTTGTAGTATATTTTCAGTGCCTTTAAGAGCACTTCTTTTTAACCTGGGTGTTCACACACAGTGCGTTTTAAGCGATACTACAGCTATATGAACCCAAAGTAAACCCTTTGCTGTGATTTAATTACAATAAACGGATCAAACTGATGCCGAAATAACTACAATACGATGCCATTTTGTTAGACATAAAATTCATGATTTGTCAGGTCTGTCAACAACTTTTTTCGTTTTCTGAATGGAGTTCGGATTGATCAGGGCTATGCTAACCTGTTCACAGTAAAGTACAACGATAGCTGGAATAAAGTTAAAGACACATGTTTTCTGAACTCACCAGGTAGTTCAACCTCCTCGCTTTCTTTTCTCCCAGTAATGTCCAGTTTTGTCCGTTTTTTATATAAATATGAAGTAGTAGTCCAGCAGAACCCTGGTGCCATCCGAGCTATCAACAACAGTGGAACCGGAATGGAAGCTAGCTGCCGAGAAGTGCGAGTGAAGATAAATCAAGTTGTAATTCCAAAAACTAAAGTAAAAAGCTAATTTAATAAAAGCAGTTAACTCTGAGCTCCTCCCGCGGGTAAACGGCGAAGTTGTCAGAGCATAATCCAGACAGACGACAGGTGTTTATTTGTCTGAAAGCTGCAGCACTGCTCCCCGTACACTTCCCCGTTCTTCAGCAGCTCTCTGTTGGCCAGCAGATTGTCATTACACCGCTCGCCTGGTCTTCTCGAAACAATATTCCGAAGCCGCCGGTGACGTTTGGACACTCTCACTGCTGATAGGCTTTCACAACATCGTGTCAAGCAAATTTCTCCCCAAGTTGAAAAATTTGAACTTGCGCGAACCAGCGAATTTCGCAATAAATGCCTCTTTCGCTGTAATTCGCATCTTTGCATTCATCATTGTGAACATACCTTTAACAGTAAGCTCATCAGACGTTTCCTAAAAATAAACATTGTTTACAAGTCCTGCACCTCGAGTCCGAGTCAAGTCTGAAGTCTTTTGAGGACGAGTCTCAAGTCGAGTCTCAAGTCACTGTGTTTGCGACTTAAGTCGGACTTGAGTCCCCATCTCTGGTAGCAATGTCCTCAGAGGACTTTGTCATGCAGTGCGAACATTTGCTTTTTTATCTGAGGCTGGCAAGGGACCTTCTTAGCTTCATAGGAGATTGTGTGTGTGTGTGTGTGTGTGTGTATGTTTGGGAGTGTGAGTGCGTGTGGAATGAGCGAGTGAGAGACAGGCACAGAGAAACGTAACATGTTCCCTGAACAGATGGGGATTATTCATGCTGTCCAAGTCTATGCTCATCACTCACTGCACAATGTACAGGATGTGTGGTGTCTATGAAAGAGAAAGTTTGAATGTGTTTGTGTAGCTTTTTGCATTTCTGCGAGAATGTAAGAGTCACGTCACACTGCTCTTTTCTGCTTTCAGAGATGAGATGTCTAATCACCTTCAATTTGTCATTAATTGATGTTTTTTTTATCAGGTTTTCATCAGTGGCGCATTCAAAATGTGTTGTTGTAGCCCTACTTACTCTTTCTTCTTATATTAAGTGGATATACCATAGATAGCCTGAGACAAGGGTTGCACACACTTTCATTTGACGGTCCTCCTTTCATTGTGTTTGTTGTTGTTAATATAGTGTGGTTTTACCTGGCAGTTTAAGAAGAAGACGCTTGCACAGCACAGAATTTGTGTAACATTTTGTGCAGTCCATAAATGCACTCTTTGGCAGGTGCAAATTTAATGGCAACCATTGAATGTGTGACAGAGTTCATTTAGGGCATGAGGCCTATGCATGAGACGACATTCTTCCACGAAATGCTTTCAAAATGCTGTGGAGCATTGATCTTACATTTTGTTGAAAATCTAAAAGCTCCCTTGCTAGATGAGGGTCTTCTCTTATTATAGACAGGCCCTTTGCTGCAGGTCATCCCTTCTCTCTCATACGTTTCCTGTGTGCCCAGCTCCACTGGTACTGGGAACCTTCCCAGCCCACTCGGGCTTGGACCCCTAATAACAATACCTCTGCACTTCAGTGTTTATCCAGATTATTAAATAAGTTGTAGATTCTGGTGGGAGTGAGTTTGTGGGACGTGTATTTGGGTATGTGCGTGAGTGTGCGTTGGAGAGAAAGTGTGCATGTATACAAGTCGTGGGTGCGTGTGTGTGTATGAGGAGGCTGAGGGATTAAGCTGGCCAGTGGATTAGTTGTCATGTAAATGAGTGAAGGTTGCGAAGAGAGAGTGAGTGGGAAAGACCAAGATAGATGGGATGTAGGGCAGGAGCTTACAAGTGGAAGGGTTGATTGACAGAGATTTTAATGAACACTGTCATGTGATCTATCTATCTATCTGTCTATTACATTTATCTGTCAGGGATTATGCCCCAAAAAACATTAATCTCAAACAAAGAGCAGCTAGGTGCTCTGTTACATATTTAGCAATGCTCAAATCAGAATTTGTCAATATGGTGAATACATTATTATAATGGATTTCCATTCCAAATATGATGTTCCTATACACCCAAAACATAGTCAGCACTGTGTACTGTAAAGAGGTAATCATCCAGTTTTTGCCCCTTTTAGTTTTTTAAATATTTCTGCTGTTTTAGTGCATTTGGATTGACCTCTGTCCATCTTCAAGAAACACAGTATTTCCGTTCATTGCTTTGCATATAAAATCTATTTGCCTGTAAAATTCAATGTCAAAGACACAATTCAGTCCATGCTTAACTGCCTGAGAGATCTTAAAATATGGTTGGATCAGAATTGTCTCTGTCTTAATGAAAGTAAGACTGAGGTTGTTGTGTTTGGTCGCCCTGGGGATTTAGGTGCTTGTGTAGATGCTATTGGTACTTTAGGTCGTATTAATAGTTTTCAGTCACGTGACATGCGCCATGACCTGGAGGGCAAAACAACAGACCAACTGCGACTCCCCCGTCACTGCAAAAGCAGTGAAATTTTATTTGGATCACCTTTCTACTTAAGAAAAAGAAAGATATGAACACAAACTGCAAGTGTTGGGCATTTCCGATCCACAAAACGTTACAGCATCCATTGCAGCATTTCTACCGTTAAAAACTCCCAGGTCCCTGCCGCCGCTCGACTGCGGTGATGTTTACTTTTACCTTCTGGGGAATCCCTCACCTAACACAGCTCAGGCTC